CCGAAGCGAAAAAAAAACGACGTCTCGTCTTAAAGATTTTTTTTTTTTTTTCAGAAAAAAAAGGTTAACGCTGGGTTTTTACCGCGACAATTTGATGCCTTCGGAGTTTATATTATTATTATATTTTTTTTGTTCATGTAGTGCATTGAAGATTGTGGCGTAATAAATACCACAAAGTTTGATTTATGTATCCACGTGTGGCGGACGTAATGACCTTGTCTTATGAAGAGGTGAGCAAAAGCAGAATGAGTAACATACAAAATCGGGCAGACCCAGAGGAGACAAACGAAAAAACTCAAAATATATAAAAAAAGGGAAGGAACATGGTGGTTCACAAGTCGATCGTACGCGGATTTCGAAAGCCGCCTTTGAAGATCTGACACTTTTATGTTCAATCAATGGAATTTGTTGAACCCCCAGATTAATCAAGGCACAGAAAAATGGGCTTTCTTTAGTTTTTTGTAACACGTGGCAACGAGTTTTGAAGAAAAAAATTGTCGAGATAAGGATGGTGGCGCTTTTTCTTTTCGCCTTGTAAAATCCTCAAAATAAAGTGAGATATAATCATTTTACATATCTATACTTAATTTACTTTGGAAATAGTTTTATACAACGTATTAGAACTTGTAAGAGGTCAAGATGCATTCTCGGTCCTTTATAGGGTTTCAAGGATCATAGTTGCGAGTGCATTGTGACTACAGTCAGCGACACGTTAAGAATTCAGTAACTTTCTGCCTTTGATAACGGCTCGTCGCACGCGCAGCCAAAGCCCAGCGGACGGCAACGAGCACGCGCTGGAGGCGGGGCTTCTACTGAACCCTGTCACCGACTACATTATCGTAGATTTTGTGTCTTGTAAAAAATAGTAGTTTCAACAGGAAATGAAAGCATACCAATGTATATATGCGTGCCTACTTTACAAATCCCACACCTACCTGGAGAATAGACTCTGCTCAAAAATCCACCAAGCAACAATGGTGGTCGCCATTCGTAGGGCACGAAAGCGTGCGATTGGATCCGAGTGCTCGCCGAACGCTGACGTCAGACTTGTAGCCAATACGAGCCGAGCCGGGTTCGCGCAAATACTGACGCAGACCTCAGAGCCTGCCCAAACAATGGCAGACCCCGTGGAGCCACTACTGGATGGCGCGCACTTTTGAAATGGGTCTATTACCAACTCGTATAGAGAGAGTGGCTTACTGAAACATACACTGGTATACAAAAGAACGATAAGTTGCAAGCTTTTGGATTACGGATGAGAGCGCGCAGTCACGCCATCGCCATAAAAATGCGCTTGAAAACATCACCGTTCGAAGAACGCAAAGGAATGCCTCGAAAGCTCATCGCAAGATCCGCGCAATCAATTCGCGTGTTCGAAGGAGACGCGTGTGGACCTCACAATTTCCCTGCAACTGGAAAAACGAAATCTGTTCTTCTTTTTTTTTTTTTTTTTTTTTTCATCACCGGGGGTTGCGACGAACTTCACAAAGAGCAACGTTTTCTGACGCGTCGATCTTGCAACGGCAGTAATTCTGGTCTCCCGCGCTTATACGCGCGGCAACCGCTGCTTTAAGGACGTTAGAGACTTTATACATCATCATTAAAGTGCAGTTTTCTCGAACTGTTTTTTTTTAAGCAAGGTTAACGCCGTAGCAACGAGTTCTTATATTTTAGATAGCATTCCCGAATACAAACTGACATTCTAAAGACGACTAGTTCGCGAAAATGGTCCACGAGAAACCATGAACGATGTCAGATCCTGTCTGCCCTTCGTACCACCGTGATTATGCCACAAGAAGAAAGAGGGGTCACTCGTAAATTTGGCCTCCCTGATAAGTTCCTGCCACCTCGAACGTTCCCCTGTTTCAGCAATCAAGTCGTCGGGTTCAGCAACCCCGGAAGCGCAGAAAAAAACTGCACCCGTCGGAAGATCAATCATTCGCCACACAAGTTCAGTGGGTCTCAGGATATGAGGCTACTATGTCCAGAATACGGTCCTTCATCATCATCATCATCAATATTTATTAAACCTTGAAAGTCCTTAAGGACATTACACAAGTCTGGAGAACTTTGTTATATAAGGCAAGAAACATAAAAAAAATAAACATTTAAAAACCTTTAGGGGAAAAGCAGCTAATTAAACAGAATAAATAAATGAATAAATAAAACATTTCTACAAGCACAAATCAAATTTGTTTCTAATGCAACTGAAACTGCGTGGTTAGTTGGGATATGAATGTGGTTTGATCTTTCTGGGCCACGACACTGCGTTAGGCAAATAGTTTCAGTCTGTAATTGTTAATGGAAAGGTAGAGTTAAGGACACGAGACCAATGAAGCGAAAATTGAACGGTCTTTACAAACGTTATCAATGTGGAGAAATTTGCGAGTGGAATGAGAATAGCAATGAAGTTCTGATGTCATGGTTATCATAGTAAAACTTGCCAAAAAGAGACAGACCATATAATGTCCTCATAGACGAGAGCAGGTCAAAGCTAGATTTCATTCGTAAGAATGTAATGCTGGTGTCTCGTGAGTAATCCGAATGGCGCGATTTGGATGTGCCTTTATGTTTGTCATTAATCTACGTTGCCAAGAGACCCGGATGAATGACGCAAATTCAACTTGTGATCTTAAGAGTTTAGATTCCGTCGTGGTTAGCCAAGAGAGCGGTTAGCGTTAGACAGGATATGTTAGATGCGTGCTCCGTGAAAGATCGTCAGATAAGCGGACGCCAAGATACTTGTAAGACGTTTGGTGATCACCTGGCTGCAAATCATGAAAGTAAAAGAAAGAGGGCTATGAGCACGTGTGAAGGAAATGAGTTGCTTCCTTCAAAACCAAGGAATCTTTGAAGATTCAATGCGGTTCCCAAGTGAGACTTCCTGGACCACTGGACGCGGCAGCAGGAACCGCCTCCAAACCAGGCTGGCGGTCACGGCGCACGTCTTAGCTTAAGTTCAATATAAATCAAGCGTCAATTAAAGATATTTAAAGGGTAGAAATAACCATCTTTTTAGAAGGGCCGAGAAAAGACTCGTCGTCTGCGCGCCACACGTACGGAGTGGAGCGCGGCTGTTTACGACCACGCGGGCGTTGTCAAGCCCCACGTGTCGACCTTCCGTGACGGCGAAGATCCACTTGCCCTGTACGACCGATTGCTCCGTAAAGTTGCCTGGAAGCCGAGGAAGTTCGCTTTTCTGTAAGCCGCTTAGGTGCGCTTTCTTTATTGCTTGTTCGGTTACTAACTTTTTTTTTTCTTCTCCAGCTCTTTCCCTCTGTGGCTAGACTCCCAATCCTCCTCTCTCGCCGCAATTACACCATGCCGTCCTCCGTCCAGCGAGGTCTTTTCTTATCCACGCGCTGTCAGAAACAAGCACTATAACAAAAACGAGAGAATAAAAATAGCTCTATTTGCCGGGCAGCCATCGCTCGATTGGCTAGAGAGGGTCAAGAGAGGTCATCAGCTGAAAAACCAGTATGGAGAGTGTAGGTGAGTTATTAAGGGCATCGATTAAACAGCGAAGCTTCACGTACAAACGAGGGAAAAGATGTGACAAATATACTACCAATATGTTTATACGCGCTAAACGCATGAACGCGACAAACTGCCAAAAACCACAAGTCCTTTATTGGAACTATATAGAGCCAGCAAAGTACGCTACGCTTAGAGCAGTAGCATAGTGGCACTCCCCATTCCTCGATGCACTCGTGGGCGCCGCCATGTTTTGGTGCTCGGTGCAGCACGAGCGCAATTGCCGATAGTGACGATTCGAAAACGCGACTACGTGAGCATTAGGTACGTGGTGCCAGGAAGCTCGGCCGATATCCCTTGGCACCGTAGTGGATTGTTTTAGCATTTCTGGAGGACGCAAGAGCTTTTCCTGCGATTTCAGATAAAGCTCCGGACAACTGCCAACGATGGCTTCAAGCACCAAGATGGCTAAGGTTTCGTTACTCTAAAGCCTATAGTTTGTTTAGTGACTCTAATTGGAGAGGTCTACAATAAATGCGCACAGTAAGAGTTACCTTTAAGAATTAAAGCTGACATCTAGAATTTTGTATTTATGCATACACGTAGGCTATTTACATTCTGGCAGACTTTAAACGGCACATGATTTCGCTGGTGATCCAATCTGTCGTCAGCACGGAAGAGTCTTCGACGGTCTGTCGGTGTCGGACAGCTTTTGACTGCGCTCTCGACTCGAAACGTCCGATCGCGTCGAAGTACGACCGCACGTTCAGGCAGCCTGCAGCGACGACCTTGTGTGTGCTATAAACTGGTAGTATCATGCGACGAGCGTACGCAGCACACAATTCCTTCGCCTTATCTGTGATCAGAAGACTAACAGAAATCCTGTTCGCGCTGCGGGTAGGCTGTCTCCTTGTTGCTCTCTGACTGTCATAAAACCATCAGATCATTATGGGTAAGAGTGACGAAGGTCTAGTTTGCATATTATTCAAGGTTCACGAAAATATAACAGCAACGCGATAACTTTACAACGACGCTCATAGGAGGAAATTGCAGAATACCTACTAGAAGCATCAAGGTGGCAAAAGATGCTGAAGAAGCGCTTCTTTAGGATTGATGCAGCTATAGATGTCTCAAACCGGGTTCACACTGCTGACACATCTTACAAAAGACAGTGTTCGCTGCAGACATAATGACAGAATTATTTGTCGGCACACCCCAAACCTGTTCGCAGCATGTTTGTTTTACACACATGTCTGCTTTGAACATGTCAGGAGATAGTTTCAATAAGACCAATATGACAGGGGCTCAAGCAAGGAAGAAGCACTCCTGAGAGTGTATGCGACTGTCTCCTGTACTATGTATTAGCAGTGTGAATGCTGCGTTAGCAAAACTTTTTATGCGCCCCTAGAACCTCCTCAACGACCCATAGTATAGAAGAAAAATGCAAGGAACGTTACAATTACGCAACTCATTCTACGATGTCCCATGTTTCGCATCTCGAAGACAAAGGGACCAAGAAGACTCACCCTGATTCTTGAAGCTGTAGTAATGCATCACTTCCCGCTCGTTTCCCCTGGCGAACTCTTTCCTGTCGTTCCGCACCCGTTCTCCAGGACCAGGTTCGACGGATCTCTGTACACTGCGACGGTACACGCGCATCATGTGGTCCATGTGAGCCTTGCTGAGCGTACCTTGCGCCTCGCTGGGAGCGCCGCTGGGCGCACTGCTGAGTCCCAAGTCCGCGAGGATGCGTCCCTTGATCAGTTCGATCGCCCGCGATCTCTCCGGATCACCTCCCATGACGGCCCTGGTCTGGCCGGGCACCACCATGACCTGAAGGGCCCACGCAAGCACCAGGACTGGACAGAGCATCGGCGTGATCAGGCCGACCGCCGTGCTGCCGGTCTTCGCATGCCCACGATGAGCGATGCCCGTCTTGTGACTCTTGAAGCTCTCCTGGACGGATGGCGGCCGCGAACGTCTGACTCTTGAGACTTTTAACGCAGTCCTGGACTAATAGCTCACGTCGACATCTGACTCTGGAGAGTTGTCTGCATTCGCGCGTGCTCGGCAGAAAGCTCTCCGGAACTGGCTCGTATGGTATTGGAACTCTCTTGAGACTTCTGGAGACTTCAGGTCGATTTAATGGTCTCCTGTGCCCTAATGTCCTTTGCAAGGAGAACTCACAGGTTTTTGGTGGTCAAGAATTATGGAAAATTCCAAAGGTTGAACTGACGGAAAACTCAAGATAAAATTTATTGAGCTGTCTTGGCTTACCCGGTAGATATAGGGTCTTCCCAGTGTTGACGCTGTCACTTGTAGCCAACTATAGGAACGTTCTGAAGTTCTCGATTTTGTCAGGATTGTGGCGTCTTATTAAATTAAACGAGGTTACTTTCGCAATATTTGACTAATCCGGACGCAATGAGGTCGTGGACGCTATGTCATTGGCAAACGTATCGTAAAACTGTTCGACCCGAGACGCAGAGTGTAAAAATCTGAGCGTCGGCGTTCACCAAATACTTCCACGCGGGTCTTCGTCGATTCGCCCATCAGTCTCGGGCAGTTCGCCTCTTCGCTGGCGGAACCATTCTTGGACGAGTTCCACGGAAGAGCCGACACACAGACACACACGCACACACTCACCAAAGACGAGAGCAAATAATAAAAAAAAAGGCCGCTCACAAAACACGTTCCTTGGGATGTATCCGTCCACGGCACAAGTCAGCACATCTTCGATTCCGAAGTTGTGCACGAGGGCGACGTCAGTTCTTGCCGGTGGGCGAGCGTTCGGCTCACCGCTGTCGTCGTTCCAGACCGGTCCCCGACTTGATCGTGCCACCCGCCCAGAACGTCCGTGCTCGGAGGACCGAGTCGACTTTAGCACGTGCGTGGCGGGAACTTCGCAGGTATAGCTTGGCCCTTTCCCCCACGGCCCGCTTCCCCCTCCCTCGGTCGTCGTACCACGTGGCGGATGAGGAACCATCCCCATTGGTCGGCCCCCGTTACGTCTTGGCGTCTCCTCTCCCTCTGCCCGGGAAAGTGGAGGGGAAACAATGGGAGAGGGTAGCCGGGAAAGATGAATAAGACTAGCCACCTTCTCCAGTCTCTAATTGTTAAAAGCGACGACGTTGTCCTGGTTGTCGTGTTTTCTCTACGTGGCACCGTCTTCGCGTTTGTCCCGATTTCGTACCACATGTCTCTTTCACTTTAAAACCGCGTTTAGGTAGATACTCTGCTTCAAGACATGCCATAAACGAAACACAATTTGGAGTTTCAAAATAGAGGTGGTTGGGTCCTCCAAACAGCTTTGGGGCGTCGAAGTTTGCGGACCTTCTGCGCATGCGCACTGGAACGCCTTAAGCTGGTTGGTGAACCCAAAGGTTTGGGACCCCCTGTCGGTATTATGATACCATCTCCTTTACAGAAACGGATAAAGGCGAAGCTACCCAGAACAGAATAAGTATATTCCTTCTCTCTTTCTCCTTGTTGTTTGTTTATCTCTGACATCAGAGTAATACACAGATTACATTCTCGCGCATATAAAAACAACCCACCTTACTTACCTTATCGAGAGGCTAATAACGAAAAGGTGGTCTGGGAGGCATGATTTATTTAGTCGAAATGTTGGTTATATATCTAGCAATGCCACGCTTCATTATATATATATATATATATATATATTAACTTTACGTCGGCTCTGTTGTTTCCTTTACTGGAGTCATCATAACAATTACATACAGACGCTTTTTAAGCACGCGCGGCAAAAAAATAGAGAAACACAAAAAGCGCGAACGCTGCGAACTGGTATAACGACGGATAAAACACAACAAGAATTTATTCAAGTTCAGTGTATGCCACTCACGTAGCATTCCTCGACGTATGTTACGCACGTAGCGTACCTTGAATCTACGGGTCTAGCAATGAATTTGAATCGGCTAATTTCTGGCAAAAGCAATTGCGCAGGTAAGGCATTACTGAGAACAGGTGAAAGATATACGTATACATAGCTGCGGCGGCTGGTACAGTCGACACATGGTGATAAATTCTCCTTCAATAAATCGCAATGCAGTCTTGGCAAAAAAAAGAAAAGAAAAGCGAAATCGACGCGCTATCTAGTCCGGTTAGGATTTAATTAGAAGAGGCCCGCCCGTTTCCGCTTTCGACGACACCGACCATCTTTCTCGCTTTTCCTCGAAGTCTTCGAGAACAACGCGAACCCAAATTAAGCTTCCTGGAAGCAATCTCCAACAATCGGAGCAGCAGAAATAAAACGTCCGCCTACTGAAGCACGCGCCCGACACAATGACAGTATCCTCCGCCGAATCCCACCCGCGCAAAGGTTGGGTTTTGCCGCATTGCTTCTAGTCTACGCGGTGAAGCTTGTTCCTCAGGGCGAGAACGGACGGTTTCGGCGAAAAGTGCCCGCTGATTGGTTCGTCCCCATCGAATACTATACTTCGCATCACGATGGGCTCGATAGAGCCAACCCGGCACCGGAAAAAATTGCATCGTCACGGCACAGCTCATCGGCTTTGCGCAATTTGCTATAACCGATTAAAGCAACCCACAAATCACAATACGCAGCGATCCTGCGGTTTTTTCTACGCGCGAGATATATTATAGCCGATGATACAAAAACAACGAGCTATGTGACGGTGCTCTTTCAGCGCTGCTAGATTAGCTCCTTCGGAATGCAGTGCAAGGAACGTGGTACTATCAATCTCGGAAGAAACGTGTATTTTTATTTATTTATTCTTTTTTTTTCTGACGGGCGAATCGGGAGAACAACGTATTGAGACCACCCTGTTTGTCTCTAAAAATATCCGTCTGAATTGGGATCTCGACAAGCCGCGTATTTTTTTTTACGGGTTATTTTTGGGGAAGAACTGTGCGGAAGCAAGTTCGCGGCGCGATGTTTACGGCGATAAAGTCGAACCGAGTGTCGACGGGGGATTGTTGAACGTGCTCGACGCTGCCCTCTGGGTGAAGTTGAGTGGGAGACTGTTGATGATCGGCAGACGGAAATAGGTTCTGCCACGTCGAAGGCTCAAAAACGCTGGCCGCTTTGGGAGACGCGTTTTCCCGAGCTATTCGCGTACCGTTAAGCGCTCGGTTCTCGGGGGCCTACGGAAATGACTCGGGGAATTTTAGAGTGCAGCTCTTTGGCGCCCGTTCCCGGCCTGAGCGGCGTCGCCGTAGCCGTGGGCGCAAGCGCGCGGTGCATTATGGGAAACGTCCCATAACACAACGCGCGCGTCTCACTGGTGACCCACGCGTTGCATTATGGGATATTTTCTATAATGACGTCACAAGTGACGTCACGTAGTATGTCATGAGGGTCACGAGTGACGTCACGAGCGTCCCGCGCGTTGAATTATGGGAACGTCACATATTGCAACGCGCGGGTCTCACTCGTGACCCGCGCATTGCATCATGGGACGTTTTTTTTATAATGACGTCACACGTGACGTCACGCGTGACGCCACAATTGTAACAAGTGACGTCACGCGGGGGAGGGAAAGAGGGGGAGGAGGACGGAGAGGAGGAGGAGGGCATACCTTCCTCTCCATACCCTCCCCCCCTCCTCCTCAAGACCTGCGCTCTAATTCGGTATTACAGGGAGTTATAAACGTCTGTCATTTTTAGGTGCTTTCTTTCGTTCGCTTTCTCGTTTTATCCGTGATTCTAGCCCGTGTTTACGACTTCCGAGGTTCATGTTTCGACCTATATCTCGAATTTTAATTAAAGTATTATTTCACAAAAAAAAGAAAGACCTTTACAAATTTTTGTAACGCAAAATTAGAGCTTAGCTCGAGGTATTTAGATTTTGCGATTGCCGTGGTAAACAATTTGGGAAAGAGATATGTATATATATGAGTACAAATATAGATCACTGTCCTCACATACCGGTTCTGCACCCTCCTCTTCCCGCGTCCCCTTCCATCCTCCTCTTTCTCACCCTCCTCTTCTACTCCTGCATACCCTCCCCTCCTTCCGCAGTTTCCCCCTAAATTTAGCTGGAAACTTGACTCCACGGGACTTCAACAGCAATTCAGTTTCCCCAATAAATTGAGCGGGTAAAATGACGTCATATGACTTCGTGTCACGTCACCTATGAACACATTTGGTTTCTCCTCTAGATTTAGCGGAAAAATTCACGTCGCGTGACCTCAACACCAATTCGATTCCCCGCTAAATTTAGCGGAAAAACGGAGTTAGCCTTGAGGCCAAGTGACGCCAGTTTTACCGCTAAATTTGGCGGGGAAACTGAATGAGCACTGTTGCTTTATGAGACGTGGCGGACCTACACACCAATTCAGTTTCTTCGATAAATTTAGCAGGGAATTGAATTGGTGTATAGGTCTGTGACATCCCATAATGCAACGCGCGTGGTTACGCCGACAGCAACGGCGGCGCCGATGCCGACGGCGACGGTGACGCCGCGAAACACAGGAACGAGCGCCTAAGAGCTGCGCTCTAAAACAGACACGCACGCACGCGCACAAACACACACACGCACACGCACACGCACACACACACGCACACACACACGCGCGCGCGCGCACACGCAATAACTTGGCGTTTTGCTATCTGGTCCGAATGGGTGCGGCTCAAAGAAATTGAGAAACCTCGCGTATGTAAAGCTAAGGTCGCTGTCAACTCGAAGCAGCGGTCACGCTCCTAATATATCATAGAAACGACAATCTGCTGCTGGCACTGTCTTAGGAGCTCCTTGTATGACGGTCAGATTGGTCTCACAAAAACTGTCATGAAGAACATGCTCCAAGCATACAGTCCTCAACCTCGTGAAGAGAGTGCATACATTCCAAGCAACGCGAGAAGATGCCGAAATATTTCAGGGCATCTGT